TTAGACAAGAGTAAACTACAAAGACATACAGGGGGAATCGGGCGATCCTAACAACCTCTTAACAGGAGGTCATATGCACAGAGCAGGGGGAGACTGCAGAGTGGAGCAGGAGGACAGGAGGGGGTTGCCCAACCCTGGAGACTCCCAGATCCTCACCAAGTACTATTAGTACGGGCACCAAGGACTACATCCCAACTGCCAAAGAGACCACCACAGGGAACTGGAGTGCCTTCGGAGCCCGAGAACTCTGAGGTCATCCACCCCCTTTTGGATCTACCACACGGCATGAAAGAAGCCCAAATCCTTCCTTGCAGGATCCAAGGTCATCGGAACAACAGCCAGGAATCAGAACAGTAAATTTCCTTCGGGACTAGGGAGAGGAGCTTTCTCTGGTCCTTACTTAGTTCCAACTTTGGATCTTCACCCTCTCTTGCAATGACCATCAGGGTTGCTCCAGAGTACCCCCCACCCAATACATACACACACACACACACACACACACACACACACACACACACACACACACACAAATTAGAATAGACAGGCAGAGAACAACAAGGAAAGCTTAGAACCAGAAGGAAAAGGTCAGCATGGACTCACACATACCTTGCTAGGTAGGACACAAATACTAATTACTACTCACTAAGGTACTGAAGATTTCTCTGCACACCCCTCCTAAAACTGTTCTGCACCTCAATTGTTGACATATGCCTCGTTAGAGTTATAACCCAGTTTAGACTATCCTAAAATCTGCCAAGTTCAGCAAAATTATGCTTCAACACTATAAACTGCTAAATACTAAAATGAAAATAGACATGAGACAGCTGAATAGTACCCTATAGCCATTTTAAGGTGTATAGCAGCCGGTTCTGTGTATAAACTAAAATCGAAATGTCAATGAAGTAGTCCTAGGATGTGGTTAAGAACCTGCATTTTTTTTAACATACTAGTTACTCAATATCATGTCAATTAATTCCATAATGTTGTAAATTGTCATTGATGTTATGTTGTGGCTTTAAATTGATCAGAATGATATTCTGCCAGCTCTGCCTTCAGACCAGAGATGGTCTCCCCAAGAAACTGTTGAATTTACCTGGACAATAAGATGCTGGACTCTATGCTTGGTATTCTCTTGCAATGAAAGAATCTTGACTGAATTTGAAATGTAATACAGCAACAAGGTGGAGGAATCCACCATGGGGGGAGGGTATGGGGAGAGGTTGGGGGATCCCCCCAGAGCCTATGAAACTGTGTCAAATAATGCAATGTAATTAATAAAAGATATACATATTTTTTTTAAAAAAAGAAATTCATTTCACTAGCCACATTAAATATTAACTGTGAATATGTGAAACAATTCCTTCCTTACATCTTATTATAATTCACTATAAAATGATCAGTATTTTCATTATTATATTTTAGGGTAAAACAATCATTAATATTTAAAACCAAGTTCTTAAAATGACAAATTTTCTCCTAAAAAAGATTTTTATATATTCAATTTCCTTTTTCAGTTAATAAAACTTCGCAAAATGTTCATTTTTTTAGGGTTTGTAATTTGGGATCCTCACATGCACTTCAGTAGAAAAGTCTGTGGGTTTGCAAAATTTTTTAAGGATTTAATGATTTCTATTGGAAAGGCAGATTTACAGAGAAGGAGAGACAGAGAAAAAGATAATCTGTCCACCGGTTCACTCCCAAACGGTCACAACAGCCAGAGCTGAGCTGACCTGAAGCCAGAACCCAGGAGCTTGTTCTGGGTCTGTCACGCAGGTGCAGGGTTCTCAAGGGATTGGGTCGTCCTCTACTGCTTTCCCAGGCCACAAGAAGGGAGCTGGAAGGGAAGTGGATCAGCTGGGGCATAAACCAGCATGCATATGGGATCCCAGCAATTGCAAAGTGAGACTTTGGCCATTGGGCCATTGTGCTGGGCCCAGTTTGCAAACTTTTCTAGGCAGAGGAGTCACAGTTCTCCTAGGATGCTGGTATTGGTTAATGATCTGAATATAGAGTCACTGACTTAAATCAAACTTGTATCTAAAAAGACCTTTAGTGACAGTGTTGTGGCATAGCAAGTCAAGCTGCTGGACTATGGTTCATGTCCCCCTTCTCCACTTTTGATCCAGTTCTTTGCTAATGCACAAGGGAAAGCAGCAGAAGACTGGATGCCTGCATCCATCTAAGAGACACAGATGGACTTCCAGGTTCCTGGCTTTCGCCTGGCCTGGCCTCAGCCATTGACACCATTTGGGGAGTGACCAGCGGATATAAGATACCCCATCCCACTACTTTCTTATTCTCTCTGTCTCTCTTTGTAATTCTCTACAACTCAAATAACTCAATTTTAAAAATAAATATTTAAAAGGACCAAGTTTATCTGGAAAGAAACCTCCTTATGATCCAATTGTAAATGTTAAGAGATTTAAAAGTTGAAGTCACTGCCCTTGACAATAATAAAAGCTATAACATGTTTAAGAGTGCTGAAGTCTCATATCTATACTTAATTGTCTTCTTAGGAGTTGGGTAGGAAACTGGAGCCAAAAAACAGGTAAATGATGGAAGAGAATATGTGTTGTTAGTTCAGCTAAAAGAATGGTGACAATGACCAATGTCAGAGATTAACACTGCATGTTATACTATATTTCTCAACTCAGTCATCACTGATGTAAATATTTATTATTCTATTTGTATTTTTCTTGTTCTCTTTCCTCTCTTTATACAATGGAGTTCTTCTTCAGAAATACAACTGTAAAATATCTCTTAGCAGAGAGCCTCTAATGCCAAACCACCAACAGTGGAGAATTTATTAAGTCCCTTGATGTTAATAAATGGGAATTTCTTTTCCTCAGTAATCAAATAAAAATTTCATAACCTGACTTATTTGCAAACATCAGCAATCAATGTTTGTAATGAAAGCAAAAGTTTCCATTTTTAAAAGTTGCATCTGATATCTATGATGCAGAATATGTAATCATTACATTTAGTTTACTAGAAAAATGAACATAATAAATAATAGAAATTCAAGCTCACAAAAAGTCAGGTATAAGGCAAGGTAGCAAATAAATCTTAATTTCTAGCCTGATCTCAAACATTTAAACTATATTTTCTTAGTTTTCTCCAATTAACTTATAAAGTATTCTAATTAGGCAAGGCTTTGATTAGGGAGAGTCATCGAATTTATAAACAACTTCTACAATTAATAAATAAGTTCTTTCCACATTAAGCGAGAGGAAGAGACCTTTCCCATAGCAGCATCAAAGCAAAATCACAGAGTTATCTTGATTATCTAGGCATGAAGGATTTACACAGGCTTGACCTCTGTCCTTGTGCATGTTAGGAAGGGCCCACATAAACGGAATGTTATGGTAATCAACCGTAACAGAATTACTATCAAGCATACACTGAGACTATGCTTTTGAGATACTATGTATACTATGTAACTCACAATCACATATAACTCCCATGTAACTCATGCAAAAACTAATCCATCGTAAACATATCAGATAGGCCCTCTTCTCTTTGGTTATTTCAGTTCTAGTAAGCAGAAACGGGATTTTCCAAGTCACTGGAGAGAAAACAATTGGGCTGTCAGAAATGTTCCTGCTGAAACTTGTTAGAATTCCTGGCTATGCTGCTGAATTGAGTAGCTGGGATAGTAAGGGGTCCAGGGAGAGATTCCTGCTTGAGTTCACAGATAGTAAGAAACTGGAAGGGAGGAAAGGCCAGACCTGAATGCTTATCACTGCTTCAGAAACCAGAAAAGTTCAAGAGGGCTCACAATTTAGGATAGCAATAATAGAATCTTCAGAGTATTTTGATGTATGTTCAATTAACGGAGGTATTTAAAGAGAAACTATTGCTACAGTAACTGAAATGTAAGATTTCTCATTTAAAAATACTGATCCTGAACATATGCATTACCAAATATCCTAATGTCCTATTCAGGTTCAGTCTTCACTGAATTATCATTCCTTCTCAAATCTTAAAAATGTCATATATGCAGGTAGAAAGAAGCTAAAATCACAATCCTCAAGCTGCCATTCTAGCTAATGAAGCCTAGAAACAAAAGAAAACTCAGAAAACTGAGAGACAGTGAGAACTCTCACAAAATTTCAGACGCCCTCCCAAAATATGAATATGAAGTTATAAAAATATGAATTGAAGTTATAAAGCAAAGAAAAAGGATGATCTCAAATCTTCCAACAATCATTTTGAATGTTAGCAAAAGGCATCAACATAAGAAAATTGGTGTAAAGATCTAAAATATTGTTCTATAAATTTCAAAATCCCAATGTTCAAAACTTGACAAAATGATTACACACACACACACACACACACACACACACACACACACACACACACACACACACACCCAGGCTTGGGCCAGCATTATGGTATAGTAAATTAACCCTCCACTTGCACTGCTAGCATCCCATAAGCTCACTGGCTTTTAGTCTCATCTGTTTCACTTCCAACCCAGCTCCCTGTTAATGTTCATTCTTAGAGGATGGTCTAAAGCCTTGGTCCCCTACACCCACACGAGAAACCCAGAAGAAGCTCATGGCTCCCAATTTCAGACAGGCCCAGCTCTGGGTGTTGTAACCATTTAGGGAGTGAATCAGTGGATGAAAGATAATGCCCTCTGTATGCCCGCCCTTTCTTCCTTTCTTCCTTTCTTCCTTTCTATAACTTTGACCTTCAAGCAAAGCTAAAAAAGAAGCTAAAAGAAGGTGAGGTCACTGGCTAATCCATGTCTATGGCACTGGTACCCATATGGGCACTGGTTTGTGTCCTTGCTGCTCTACTTCATATCAGCTCCCCAGTTTTGGCTTGGGAAAGCAGGGGAGGATGGCCCATGTCCTTGATTTCTTCAGCACAAATATGCAAAAGTCAACAGAATCATTACTTCAGAGCCGCAATTTTTACATGTTGAGGATTAGTCGTAAGTTTTCAGTGGATTCAAAACAAATGAACAAAGGGAAAGTGCTATGAAAACATACCTTGATTTGTGCAAAAGGTCTTTCGTAGCCTCCAACATAGAGAAGACCAAAATTCTGAGGAAGTAACCTAAAAAAAGAAAAAAAAAAGCATTATTTACAAAATACCATTCTTCCTCAAGTGTAAGAATGTATATTTATCCAGATTTCTTTGGCACTTACTATAATAAAAAAATAATATACGTATTAGGAAAAATCAGGTATGGGTTTCAACTCCTGTGTCCATCAACTGACGACTAAAGAGGATGTGGTAGCATACAGTCATTAAAAAGAATAAGATCCTGACTTTGGTAACAAAGTGGATGCAACTAGAGACCATTATTCTCACTGCAATAAGCCAGACTGAAAAAGACAACTATCATGCATCCTCTGATTTGACAGTTAATACACAGAGTGCCAAAAAAAAAAAAAAACCACCCTGAATGTGTAAATCAACATCTTACAATCTTTGTTTACAGTCCATGTCTAAATTCCTGTGGAGCAATGTTCTTCCTACATTTCACTTGCTGAAATCTAAATTTAGAAGAACATTTAGCCTGTGATTACAAAGTCAATAGATAGTACATTGTTACAAACATTAAGAAAAAAAAGAGCTATTGTTCTGTCCTTACAATTATATATATAGAATAAAGTCTATTCTGTTTACATTAATTTAAAAAATGTTTCTTTCTTTTTGTTTTTTAAAGATTTATTTTATTTATTTGAAATACAAAATTAGAGAGGAGGGAGACACACACACACAGGGAGAGATCTCCCAATCACTGTTCCACTCAGCAATGGCCACAATAGCTAGGGCTCTTACATGGATGTCAGGGGCCAAAGTAACTGAGCCATCTTCTGATGCCTCCCCAACTCCCTGGGGCATTAACAGGGAGCTGGATCTGAAGTGGAGCAAGTGCTATAACTAGTGCTCATATGGCAGACTATGGCCTAAACCACTGTGCCACAATGAAAGCCTATGCAGGGGACAGCATGCCAGATGCACATGGGGAACATAACAGCCAGCTCATTGACACTTGCAAGGTACATCCACTGTCATGGCAGAGGCTGGAGGGCAGAACAAACTGGTAACTCTTCTGCCCAAGCTTTGACAGCAAGTATCTGGGTGAGTGGAGACTCTAGGCTTGACTATGTTAGTCTATGGACATTGGAAGAATTGCCTCAACCTTGGTGCAACGAAATCAATAGCATCTCAGAACTATCAAAACCACTTAAGCAGTATGCTTGGAAAATGCTCCAAATTCTAAGATGACATCCAGTGGCCATCCCCCATCCCTGGGTACTGATGTGGTTAGGTTGCTGGGAGCAGCTCTCTGCCCTTCTTCTCCACCCCCAACCAGATACAGAAAGAAAAAAATTTGGAAGGAACTGCCTGTTTCACTTTCTCCAATACCTTGACCCTTTCCACACTAATCAGTAGTCAACATGGGAATACATCCTTCCCAACTATGTAAATACCATCAAAAATAAAATCAATTTAGTTTAAACAAAGAATTCTAACAGCTGATGGATACAATCCTGAATTAAATGACCTTAGTGAAAAGTTAACTAATAAAATGTGATGACTTTTTGTAATGCATTTTAACATTGTATTTTACAAACATCACTAATGACATTTATTTGTCAGATTAAAGTAGAAAGCGCAGGAAATGTCCACAAATCTCAACAGTGAAATTGAGAATTGCTTAGCCATCATTTGAAAAATAAGAAATTTATCAAGCTAATAAGAATTCAAAGTGAAACTAAGCCCCAATTTCCAAAGCCTTAGATAAGGACTTTACCAGGCCCTAGTTAATCTCCATTAGTATGTTCTCCCTATTTGTACTTTGATGGTTACAACTTAAAACTCACTAAAAGTTAATTCAATAATTAAAGCAGTGGTGCTTGGGTTCAGAAGGTCCCACAAGATCTAAAGATCACAGGACTCAGAATTCAAGAATCACCCTGAGTTTACCTCCTAGACTTTACTCAATATGCCTCATGGGAATCCCAGATTCAGACAAAAGTAACAAGCAAGTTACCAAACAAACACAGGCATCCCAGGTTCAGATGAGACATGTAACAATGAAGCTACCCAAAGACTTCAGGAGGACCACAGTACTGTGTGCTTTTTCAGATCAGGCCAGTTTCCTATTGGTGATTAACTAAAGGAAGGCCACAAGAGGTGTTACCAATTGCAAACACATAAGCTGATGACGTATTGTTCAATCTCAACCTTAGCAGAAAAGATTTAACATTTTAATGCCTCAAGGGTTTCAGAACTGGACAATAGCTACCCAATTCCTTGTTCAATACAATTTTTTTTTTCTTCCAGAGGCAGGCATAGTGGCACAGTAAGTTGAGCCTCTACCTGAGACATTTGCTAAGTCCCAGCTGTTCAGCACCTCAGATCAAGCTTTCAGCCAAAGTATCTGAGAGGCTACAATTGAGAGCTCATATCATTGGGCCCCCGGCACGTGCATGGCAGACCCAGATGGAGATCCTAGCTCCTGGCTTCAGCCTGGCCCAACTGTAGCTGCATACATTTGGGGAGAGAACTAGTGTGTGGAAGAGCTCTATCTCTGTTTCTGCCACCCTGCCTTAAAATAAATAAACAAATCTTTAAAAAGAGTGAAAAATAAACATCTGCTTTCTTCAACTCCCCATGCCACGATGGGTTTGCTGCATATCGGGCAAGCAGATGCAGGCTGTGTGTAGGCTGCTACAATAAAACACTGCTTGCACCACAAATCCAGTGTTAGCTAGACAGAGTGCTGGTAATTTATTTCCTAAATAACTAAGTTCACAGAAAGCTTGATAAGCCTCCTTCAGAAGAACAGTTCATACAACTAGATGCTAGAAAAGAAGAAAATAAAAGCTGGATGACATTTAAAAATCAATATGCCTCTAATGACTATGCATATGTATTACAGAAAGCTTGCCAATATACTATTTACTGGGCTCTGCTTGCTAACTTGCCTATTAATAAACACTCTTCTTAAACAAGAAGTTTTTTAAATGCACCAAACATGCACACACTCTCACACCTTCCAAAATGCTGCTCTTTCTTGTTCATGAATCTATTAATCCTTACGATACATCACCATCTTTACCGGAGTGGGTTTAATATGTACCATAATTTCAAAGATTGCTATGCATAACCTAATTAATACTCTGAGAATACAAGGTTCCATTTTTAAAACAGAACATTTCTTTAAATGTTTTTACCTTAAAAATTATTTTGCCAAATGGTACACATAATTGTAGTCAAGTACAGGCACCACTTTACAATCACAGGGTGCTCGTGGGCAATCTAGCAATCACACATTACAAAATCCCAGAGCAGGGTATTAATTCATAACTGATAGATGCCCTGATAGCTATACTTTCAACTGAAACCCTGGCTTATTCAATGTCAGGTAATTTTTCCCCCCATAAAATAAGGGAACATTACCATAACCTTTACACAAACATGAACAAGCTCTACAATACTTGATTCTAACTAAATGCTTCTCTAGCATGGCTGTCAAAAAGGATGCTTTGGTAAAATACCAACAGAGAGGCTCTGTTGCACTGGCAATGTGGGTGGCAGGAAAGACTCTATTACAGCTTTTAAAAAAGCAAGGGTTAGGCAAAACTGACGTTCATTTTGCTTTCAATTTCTACTAATACATTTTTAAAGAAATATCAAAGGAGGAAATCAGCTCCAAAATTGTTTCCAGAGAAGTTCCTCAAAGAAAAACAATCTCCCAGGTAATAGAATGAATACTGTTTAAAAAGGTGCTTATTCATAACATAGAGATACCTGAAAAGATACACTGATATGGGCCCGGCATGATAGCCTAACGGTCAAAGTTCTAGCCTTGAGAGTGCCAGGATCCCATATGGGCACCAGTTCTAATCCCGGTGGCCCACTTCTCATCCAACTCCCTACTTGTGGCCTGGGAATTCAGTTGAGGATGGCCCAAAGCCTTGGGGCCCTGAACCCGTGTGGGAGACCCAAAAGAAGTTCTGGCATAGTTTGGATAGGCATAGCTCCACCCACTGAGGCCACTAGGGGAGTGAATCATCTGATAGAAGATCTTCCTGTCTCTCATTCTCTCTGAACATGTCTTTCCACTAAAAATAAATATATCTTTTTTGAAAAAGATAGACTGATACATTCCCCACACGTGGATATACATTCTTCATACTATATAGTGATTTATCAGACACAGAAACATGACTTGAAAAGGAAACTTGAATTCTGTTCTAAGAATATGAAAGATCTGATGGCCTATGAGAATACACACAAAATATTTTTTATGAAAAGGTGCATTTTAAAGACCATTATCATACTCTGTCCTCAGTGGAAGACTTTCAAGAGGGAGGAGGTTGCATATGAGCCAACAATTATTCCAAATCAAGATTGAAAAAATAAAAGGATATTCTTTTTTAAGATTCATTTATTTTTACTGGAAAGTCACATAGATATACAAAGAAGAGAAGAGACATAGAGGAAGATTTTCCCTCCTCAGATTCACTCCCAAAGTGGCTGCAATGGCAGGAGCTCAACAGATCCAAAGCCAGGATTCAGGAGCCTCTTCCTGGCTCCCACACAGGTGCAGGGCCCCAAGGCTGTCCTCTACTGCTTTCCCAGGCTACAAGCAGGGAGCTGGATGGGAAGTGGGGCTGCTGGGACAACAACTAGTGCCCACATGGGATCCTGGTGCATACAAGGCGAGGACTTTAGGCCTCAGGCTACCACACTGGTCGCAGGGAAAGGAGAGCTGTTTAAAAACAATTTAAACAAAACAAAATTATAGTTAAGGTATTACTGAATCTGGTTTAAGCATAACAAAATATCTTAAAATAATTTAAAGTAGCTAGAAACTCAAACTTTGTGATCAGACAAGTCAATTATGCAGACCACACAACTTCAAATATGTGGTTCTACCTGAAAAAAATGTTTGGAAAGTTTAATGTGGGGTTAGCAGTTTTATTCTTAATTTTAGAAAATGCCTATAACTGAAAACTTGTGCATTATTCTTTTTATTCTCAAATAGAATATAAATTTTAAAACTGTTGAATAAAGCAAGTTTCAAACAAATG